CCATTCTATCCTGATGAAGATTAACATTTGGTACCTCTCATGTGACTATAACACGGATTCAGACATCACAGAGCTTATCCTCCGTCTAATAGAGGGTTTCCACCGTACTGCCATAATTATTCTTATTTAGATACAATTCCGTAATTTTTCTGTACACGATCATCTCCATTGAATCCCCCAAATTCATCATTTGACGCGTATTTTACATTACCACGAGGTCGAATGGAACGAATTAAAAGTTCGCGAAAGATTGATAGAGGGGACGACTATCGAGACACTAGCATGAATTTCCCGTAGTGGATGGGAAACTAAGTTCCAGGCGACGGAATTGACTTTTTTCACGTCGACCCCCAACCCCATCAGGATGTGCTCGTAAGCCCACCCGTGTTCCGACGGAATCGAGTTACTCGAGCCGCTCCGGGATCGGAAAGTGTTACTTTATCGGTCCATTAAAGCTCACGGGACCGGGGGTAACACTTTCCACTCGCGATTCCTGTGATCCCCGTCGAATGAATATATGAACGGGGAAACGCGGTCATCCTTTCGTGAAAGAGAATCCGTCGATGAAAATTCAATAGAGGATGTATAAATTTCAAAAGTTTCGACGTGTAAAATCAACGATCTATGGAGATATACAGGGTGAGTCACCTAACGATTGCACCTCAAATATCTTTATTGTTTTTAAAGATACGTCAATGGGGCTCACACGATGCCAAAAAATTTTGGTTCTTATGTCATTGTTTTGAGAGTTATCAAGGTCACCTTCATTTCTTAAAATGGAATCACCTTTTTTTAAACACCTACAATGATAGTAGTCCCTTTCATTAGGAATGCAGTGATTATAATTATTAATTATTTAATAATTCCAAGTACTGACTCAAAAGTGCCGAGGAGCCTTCGAACACTCATCGAAAATGTACTGTATCTCAAATGTGAAAGCATGTAACGCGTGGCATTTTTCCTAACAACCACAGAAATTACTTCAATGATATCCCGTCAGTCTCGAAAGGGTGAAACAAAAGATATCAAGAATTCCATCGAAATATAATATATATTCATACGTGAAAATATTCCACGATCGTTCCCGATATATTTACGAACATCGTGGCCATTTTTGCGACTTCGCGTTTCTGGGTTAAGTGTCCCCTAAACATCGGAGATAATAAAACGGGGAAGTAGAGTACGTTTCTCTGCGGATGACAGGATTGTTCTGGTCGTTAATCGACAGATGGGAGACACGCCATACGTGTACGACCGCCATATTGGATTACATATTGGTACACCTTTCGTATTACCTCTTCTAAAGTTATTGGTATACTTCCACTAAGGAAGCGACGTTTCGAACGCTGGGAAAATGCAAACACTCTGTGCACACTTTTTCAGGAGCCTAATTGACCGAGAAAAAAGTGTACAACTGCGGGATTATCGCGGATAAGAATCAGCGCGTGGCTTTTTAATCGTTGCGGTGCACGCGAAGCGCGGGTTCCATTTTGCATTTGTGTATTGTTTCGCCGTGGCGACGATCGCGTAAAACGACCATGATAATTGCGTGGGTCCTGCGAGGCGTCCTGGAACGATATTGTCGTCCATTGGTTAAAAGGTTACTCGTCCCTGTCCTCCCACTCCAGATAGAAATCTGTCACGGATTATATTGTACTGGTGCTTAGAGCTGCCTCTCCGTGGATTCATAACTGTCTCGTACTTGGGAAAACTGGTTATATTCCATTTGAAATCTCTCATGGGTTGAATGTTAATTGTTAAAGTTATGTGAAAGGTCTCCTGAGTCTTTTCCTTCTGCGTTTACACGTTTACATCCATTCTTTAAGATCTTAAGACTTCTCTTAGTCGTAACAAGATTGCAAATAGGGCCAGAAATTTTTTATTGCAAGTAATGGTTTAACTAGGTTCTGCTACGTGAAATTGAGTGAACATATTTCTTATGGAATTCTTTTAATTAACGACGTTGCGTAGACTATTACGGTTGTAGACACTGTAGCTGATTCTATGACGAAAATTAGGTGTAGCAATCAGTAATCCATTATTTCTTTTCGTAAAATAGCGATGAATATTAACTCACTAAAATTATTTCAAATGATGTATTCTTCAGAAATGGAAAATACACAGAAAGTAGATGTAAAAATTTAAAAAAGCGAATATTTGAAAATATAATATCTATTGAAATATAATCTTCATTTCGGGTCACATAGATCCGTGGAGAACAGCAGGGTTAAAGAACGAGAACCGATACCACTAAAACAGCATAGACTCCCGCGATCTAGAAAAATAAGTATTAAATCTATGAAAGTACAGTCAATTATTTATTGGTACACCTAATCATTCAAAAAACCGTGGACTTCCTTCAGGACCACTAAATGTCCCAAAAATTCAGACCCGAGAGTAGAAAATAAACTCCTCGTACAATCAAATACGATCTGGACTCTAGAGGGGTTGAAGATGAAAATTGAAATCTTTCCTTGACAATCATAGATCGTATTTTAATGGCATCATCCTCGATCCTCCTGTCATCTCAAGCACAAGATTAACTGTGTCCTCTTCTCGAATGGCTCGCAGCATTCAGCCTTCGAGACACGGTAAATTTATGCAATCTCGAGAACAGATTCCTCGCGATCCTGAAGGATCCTCCGTGGGGTAAGTCGAGTGACGCCAGCACATATTCCCGCGCATAGATACGACCGAAATTTCATCTTGTCGGCTCGTACGCGGGCCAGAAAACGGTCGAGTCCTAAGGACGCTGGGATCCGGGCTGGGTCAAGGATAGGCAGGATGTGACGTCACTGGGGGGCCGCCGCCAGGAGATCGATATCCTGGCTACCGGAGCGGCGGCGTCACCGCGAAACGCACTGTCTGCTCCTTGTTGACCGTACCACGTGCCAATTCTCCCGTCGATAATGCCACCGTGTTGGATCGACTTGATCAACTGTCTATTTCTTGGCTAGGAAACAAGCGTTCTACGTCTACATGTTGATCTTTGGCCATTGACGATGGCTTCATCTGGCGATATTGTAGAGATAATTTAACTTTCAATAGGATCAAACGTTAATTAAATCGTTAACGTTTCGGGGACGAATTTGAATTTTTTCTTTTACTAACGCCACCTGGCGAGGCGGTTTTGAATTTCCAATCGACAGTGAGTGACAGCCAATATTCAAAAAACGGAAAATAACATTCAATTGGTTATTATCCCATTTTAGTTTGAATGGGTTCGATTCAATTACTGGACGTCCAAAATTAACCCCTTGCCTTGGAGCATTTAATATGGGATTCGATAAACATGAATATTATTCGTTTTCTTTGAGTCGTAATGAAACACGATTTTGCTGGTATTAATATTTAACTTTTAGATTAAATATATATTTGAGATAAATACAGAATTTCTGTTGTTTTAGGCAAGTAAGTCTGGAGACTGTGGACTTGAAAAAAATCGTAAAGCAAGTTAGGGGGTCAAGGTTAACCCTTTGACTGCGAACAGCGCATTTAGGCGTTCTTCGTTGTAACAAGATATCTAGAAATGACCAGTATTGAATCTGCTCCGTTGCTTTGCATCCATCGTACGCTTCTTCTGTGAGAACTACAGTTGTTACATTTTATAAAATTTATATAAACAGTTGGATGTTCTTTAAAGTATTAATAAAGAACATATGTAACGAGCGTTAAGCTTCCGAGTGGTTCGCAGTCAAAAGGTTAAACGTGTTAGGAAACAAGTACTCATCGGATCATTCATCTCTGGGTCGTCTGTAGTTAAGGGGTTAAAACAATAAGTAACTTTGTAATCTCCTGTCCTTGCTTACGTTGGTATGGGAGCAGAAATAAGCTCCGTTACGTGTCAAGAAGTGCAATAGAATATGTTTATAAGGTTATTGTTACAGTATAGGAATCGTTCGTTCCTCATTGACCTCACACGCGCGCCGATTGTCCCCCCAGTTTCAGTTGCCAAGGCTGCCTCGGAGGAAACCCTTCACGGACAATGATTTCTTTCAGTTTGCTGAGGCATAGCATGTATATTATTGTATAAGCGATCTATTCTGAGGTCGACGTCGAGAAATCCTTTCCCCCTCTCTAGCTCATACGTGTCATGGATTCTTTTGCATAATAGGACCGTCCTGAATCGTAAATAACATTTCAAAGGACAGCATCTCGCTTCGTTGACACTTTGATAAATACCACTTTTTTCCATTCGTTTCAAAGAACACGAGCAAGTCTTTTTCTCGTCGAGACGATATTATTGAAATTGGATTACGTTACTTATTGGTCAGATTTTTGGAACAGACTTCAGGTTCGTTAGCTGAATTTGATAATTTATGGAATAGAAAATTATGATGTTCTTTCGGTTTCCTCAGTTTATTTTACTCTAGGAAGTATTTCTCCTCTGTCTTTTATGTATCTTTAATTCCAGTTTACTTTTTTATTATCGTATTTTAGCGAGCTTTATTGTATTACTGTTGGTATCGATTGTGTTTGAGCCCTTTCGTTTACTTGTCGTCTTTAGGATCTATTATTCCAGACTTAAATTCATTTAAGGATCGAGAAACGATTTATTCGGACTTATGTGACCTGGTATAACCAGGGTATTAAAGTCTTTTGTCCACGGTATAAATGTAATTGGTTAGTGAGTCGAGGATTTATAAGGACGTAACAAGATTACCAACAATGGAAATCAGTTATTCATGCTTGCATAGCGTTAAGTAATCGTACTATTTAACCCGACAGAGCCTGTTATCATGATACAGACACTTATTTACCTATACGTTAATAACTAAGACAATAATAGAACGACAATAATGACGACTGCTTTTCGTCGAGAATTACCAAAATATGGTGTTTTCTATGCATGTAAAAAAATTCCAAAACTTTGTACATTTGAAAAACACCAATCGACAGTCATGTGACACCATCATGTGTCGTCGGTCACATTGTTAGTAACGCGATATAATATCAATAAACTCAAACCTTTTGAAGAACACTCTCGATCCGATTCTCAGATGCTGAAGTCCTGCCGAACTCTGAGCATGACGGTACGGGGACCAGCCCTGGATCCCCGTTGCAGAGTCGGTCATCCGGTCTGGTCCACTTCCGGTCGTCAGCAATCCTGCAGTTGGATGGACCGTCAGGGTCGTCCAGCGTCACCGCCGCCGCTTTACCAGTCCCGTGACACTAGGTACTGCCCAAGGACGAGGAAGGTCGAGCTCTGCATCGAACCAGGGCAATCGCTCGGTTTGATGATCAGAGGCGGCCTTGAGTACGGCCTTGGGATCTATGTGACCGGAGTCGACAAGGACAGCGTGGCCGACCGTGCTGGTCTACTGGTAAGAACGCGAAATTAGAGTAGTAGACTCGCGATAATTGCCTGCTGGATAAATTTCTGTTCCGAATATCTCCTACTCATATTTAACCCTCATCCGTCCCTTGTGTCAATTTGATACAGTTTTCTCCTAAGAAATGACGTCATTCTGTCATGTGTAGGTAAATTTTGCTGAGGCTTTGTGATTTTTATTGTAAAGAATTTACAAATTTAACTATTTATCACTTCATTGTGTTCATTTTTACCACTGGGTCAATTTGACAACGAGGGACAAATTAAGTTAGGAACGTCCACTGGTGAAATACGAGATCTATTGGCTCTCGATTATTATTCGTTTTCTAGAACTGCCCCTTCTAGAGCCTCAAATGCGGGCAATTATCGCGAGTCTACTGAACTGTGTTTTAGTTTGTAATACAGGCAATCTCCATATAACACGGAATCCGTGTAACTGTTATATGATAATATATTCAGAGAAGTCTTCTCTGTCTTTTAAGTCTAATTTGAACTATCTGGCATTTTTGGTTTTCACGCGATAAGTCGTTTTTGCCCTACATCGTGCGTTGTTACAAAACCACTCTTTGTCTTCTACTGAACAATTATCTAATTTAATAATCTATATTCAATAACTAAGATATTCGAACTGAAACTGTATTTTCTGATTTTGGTTCTATTGGTTTATAGATCGTATAAATTCTCGTTGGATATTCATGGAGAAAAGACGGATAAAGGTTAATAGCTTGGTGTAGGGGTTCCGTTTCAGCTATAGCACAATGGACGTAATGCTAAGTTCATGAATAACGAATGAAATCAATTAGCCGGTTGTGCGACCCAATGTCAGGAGGAATTAATTAGCCTTTCGTGATCGAACGGGTGTCGTGTATGTACATTTGATTACGAATGCGGATCGAAACGGCGCTACATCGGCGCGATGTTAACAATCCGGAAGATTCGACGACGTTCGATGGGCAACCTAACCTCTAAAGAAAATTTGATGATCGGTTTCCCAACTGTTGATTCATTCTAACCTCAAATTATACTTGCTTCCCGAAAACAGATATTATTAAAATTTACCTCGATCGTTAAAGTTCATTTTCATAATAATTTTACTTCCTGCTAATTCTTTTATTATAATCTTCGATAGAACATCGTTAAAAGTTTTGTTGAATTTCGTATTTGTAGGTAGGCGATCAGATAATCGAAGTGAACGGTCAGAGCTTCGAGGAGGCGACCCACGACGAGGCGGTGCAGATCCTGAAGACGAACAAAAGGATGACTTTGCTGATTCGCGACGTGGGAAAGGTGCCACATTCGTGTACCACCAGTCAGCCGATCGTGATGCCAACGTCTAGGTACTCCGATCACGATCCCTTGTTGCTGGAGAGCCCTGGCAATCATCGGCCACCGAGTCCCTCGTACGTTAATCGTCCTTTTCAAAAATATCCTATAGTTCAATTAACATTGCAACAGTCGAACTGACTCACCTGGTATTAGCATTACATACCATGGATTTAAAGCTGAAGATGACGATTGTTAGCCGAATCGAATCTATAATGTTAATGACAACCAATTGCTCTAAACACTTGGGTGTATTTTCATGAAACTAAGTCTTAAGCAACTGTTTAAGATCAAAGAAATTCTAAATTAAATATACTAGACATTTCAATTTAATTTCTTGTTGTAGCGTCACAAGCGACTGGAGACACCGTAGCGGCGTCCACACAGTGTCTGCCGCGACTATCTCCATGGTGGAGGAGAAAGCGAGGGTGGTGCTCGCGAGAAGCGAGAGAGCAGTGCTCTCGCAGCTTCTGGCCGACTATAGAACCCGCCGATTGACAATCGAAGAGTTGATAGGTAGTTTGGGGGACTTGTTGAACACCCCCGAGAAGCTGTCTCTGCTGACCGAGCTCAGGGAACTCGTCGACAGCAAAGACAGAGCCGTGTTCGATGATCTTGTGTATAGGCCGCGTGTAGCCATGGCAAGGGTACGCTTTATATAATAACATTAACTAATTGCACTTACCTCCTGATGATCTTCCGTTCTACGTCTTTGCTCCTCCCACGGAACGTGAGTAAAAGGAGCTGTCACCTAGCCACATTTGAGATCGTCCCTCTGGGCGTGACTTATCACAGAAGTCTAGATAATTTTGGAGTAGATGATACTCACCTCTGTTTTATCTAGGACCCCTTTTATCCCACTTGTATAAAGTCTGATTTTGCAGAAAAGAATCCGTTCCTGTCATATATTTGCTGCCCCCCCACTCGTTAGACTAATCATCTCTTTATCTTTACTCCGCCCACAGGAGGCGTGGCTTTCACTAGAAGGCGTGGTTTCGTCCTAGTTTTGCCCCGCCCGAATTGAACGATATTTTAAATCATGGTACAAAATTAATTTATCCATCTGTTTCAGAGAAAAGGCGACCGCGCCCATTCGGATCTAGTAGTGACGCCCTCCATCCACGATCTTCCGGTAAGTGAAACAACTACTCGTACTCCACATATATACACACGAGCTCACGCGTGAAACTCACACGAATCTCTTTCACCTGTCACACAGTATTATTCTCTCTGTTTCTATCTATCTCTGTCTATCCTTCTATCCATTTCTCGGGACATGTATAGAAACTATTCTGTCTCTGTCTTTCTCACTCTTGTGTTCTTGCGTGTGTCCATTGTAACTATTAGACACATATATATATATTATAACTGTTTTCTCTACCTTTCTTGTCGCTGGTCGTCGCGAGCAACCGTCTCCGCGTGTGGATCCGTCCCGTGGCTGTCCAGCCTCCGGCGGGGGAGGGGCCACGGGGCGGGCACGATTCGCTCGAATGGCTGCTCGCGACGAAGGGGACGATTCGGTATGCTCGTGTACCCCTCACTGAATGTATCCAATTAGCGCGCAAAGATTTCCATCCCCCACCCCCGCCCCCACGATAGCAGCCACGTGGCGAACCCCGAATGCATACGTCGAATCGGTATTCGAGCTGGGGTATAAGGAGATAACGGGCTAAAAAAACGAACGCGAAGCAGCAATGACGACGGAGGAAGGAAGAAAAAAACTCATTGTCGGTTGGAGAGGTGCGAGAGGAGGAGGAGTAACGTATATAACACGTCGAAGAAGACAGAGGAGGGACCAAGAACGGAAGAGAACCGCCCCCCGGAGCCCGTCCAAGGGAATCGTCGAATCACCAAGAATCACACACGTGTCACGCGCATCTAGTAACGGGGAATAACGTAGATCCGAGAGGATGAACTTTTGTTTTTCGCTTAATTGGCTCTCTGCTATCGCGGTGATCCGTGAAGCATGACTCGGAGATCTTCCTGCAACCCCGATTAACTGATTCTTTCTTCCTTTTTTTTCTTCTGTTCTCTCGTAGAAGCATCTTCTTGGTCTGTCTTCTATCGCTTCTTCTACTTCTTCCTCTTTTTCCTACCGACTATTATTATCTCTCTGTCTCTCTGCCTGTGTTCTGATTATGATTTCGCGTAGTTGGTAGTGTGCGCTTTCTGGCAGCCGTTGTCGCATCCGTTCACACGGGCTCGGTGTTCTTGTCGATTCGAGTAGCGTTTCGAGACGGGGTTGTCTTGCGTAGCGCTTCGCTCACGGCTGATTGTAAATGTTCGAAGCCCGGAGAAACAATCGGTTTAGAACACGTTGGCGCTTGATTGTTGGCCTGCTACCTCTATTCGTGGGTAGACTCTGGATATTTATGGAAATATCAATATTTAAGAATTAATGTGAAAAGAAGTTGTTTTACTGTATTAAGAGTACTATTGGGTTCAAAATGAAACAAAAATCGAATTAAAATACAGTCAATTTCTACGACAACGGGCGCTAACGTGTTAATCCTAAAAAGGAGTTGAATAATACGATTATTGTTCCTTTTGGCTAAAATTCATCGTGAAAATCGTTGAATTCCGTGGCTTCGAGCATTTTTTATCATGATTCTACGTTTCTGGATGCGATAGGTTTAGATGCTTGCGAACCTAAGAAGCACAGAATGCCGCTGTTAGAGCAGTTTGCCTCTCTCGTTTTCTTTTTTCACGTCCGACTTATAACGGGCCGAGACGGTACAAAATGCGACTTTTCTCGCGAACGAGTTCGCCTGAGCTTTGCTGGATTTCTGTTTTCGTTCTTACGTCGATCGGGTGCTTGATCAATGCAGGCGTCGAAAGAAACCTTGAGGAAAATACTGTTCCTTTGAAAAGATACAAAACATACTTTTTCGAATAACGAATATTATAAATAACGCTTCATTTGTGACTAAGGAAGAATTTTTTGTCGAATGAAAAATCTTTAATCAATGTCTACAAATGAATCCTGGGACTTTATTCGTTATTTGAATTTAAATTAAAATTTTTTTTTCTAGGCTAACCAGTCACGTCACAGGAAGTCACTACAGTGTCTTCTGATAGCCAAAGAGTTAATGCAATGATCCTACTGTTTCGTTTATTTATACAATTCCAAAAAATTTTAGTAACCTTATACACGTAGTTTCAAAATCCCTCGTGGACTGGTTCGAACGAACAATCATCTACGTTTGATCACGCACTCGATCGCGAGACGCTGAGAGTAGTTGAACCGAAGATCGGCCTGGTCCGCGTCACGAATCATCCCAGCGACTGATGAATCTTTCAGGCTTATAGCCAAGCTCTCGAACGCACGCTCGATGGTTTTCGTTCGTTGTTCACCGACGAGTGAGCGAAAAAAAAAAAAAAAGAACGTAGATGACGATCCGCGAGACGATCCTGCCGGCCTTATCCAAAGCTCGGGCAAGCTCGGTGACGGCCGGTTTCGTGTGGCCAACGAGTTGAAACGAGCGCCCGTCGTTAATTACGGAACCATTGCGACGAATCTGGTACCCATCTGGTTTCAAACGTGAAACACTCCACTCCTTGTAACTGGGTTCCGTTTCCGTTTCTCTTCTTCGACTGTTTCTGGCTTTGTCGTTTGACGTTCGGCTTCACAGTGACGATTTGTTGCCTAAAATTGTTTCTGGTCTGCTTAGATGGCGTCGATAGGTGACGTGAAACGATTGATCGTGTGAAGAACAGGGAAACGAGAGTGTCGATCTTTTATAGAAACAGAGGACGATGAACTTAAAGAAATTGGATTATATCCAGATGATTGAGATTACTTCTTGGAAATGTTCGCAATAGTAGCCTTAAGAAAATTTGTTAACTTAAAATGGTACTTTGGTACCATTAATGGTACTAACTCAAAATGGTACGTCAGCACCAATTTAATGGTACTAACTTAAAATGGTACATTAGCGCCAAATAAATGGTAGTTCAGCACTATTTAATGGCCGTTTAGTACCATTTGATGATACTTCTATACCATTTTCGAAAAAATTAAGGAATCGTTCCGGGCAACACCTCATTTCTTCGGTGGATTGATGCCATTTTGGACGATTAGAATTATTTTCACATACGCTCTTCAGCTAAGGGTCCGAAGTTACGAATTTTGCAATAGTTTCTGCGTCATCGTGATAGTACATCAGAATTATCGATGTACCGGTGTGTACATTAATCACCTTCGTCTATCAGGGGTTAATTAACCATAGTGGTTTTCGGCGAAGTCGGTCGACAAATCGATTCGATGATGTTTGATTGATGATCGGTGGCTCATGCGGCGGTTTCACTGTTCACGGTCCCGCGACGACAGGTTTCTTGATCTTCCAATGGAAGGGAGACACCGGAAGTCATCGTAAATCAAGCACCATTTGTATCACAGTGGCGAACGTGCAGGTGATCGATGATAGATCGTTGATAAATCGGCACATTGACCGGGTTCCTTTGTCGTTAATTAATCAGCGTTTTCGATCAACGAAGGGGACGACAAATTGTGTCGTCTTCCACCGATCCATGGATCGTTTAATGAACTAGGTAGGTGATTCTGTTAATTTGCTTCGTTCTCTTCTGAACCGTCAGGATTCCAATTATTCGCGATCAGTCTCGAGGAACCTTAAACTCCATTTTCATGGAACTCTCTCTCTCTCTTCACAATCTGGTGTCACAGAAGGGCAACAAGAAATGGAGGAATACGATAGAATGTGAATGTGTATAGATGTGTTCCGTATAGGCGAAAGGACTCTGATAATACCGAGAGCAGATACAGAATAGATGCTTCTTTAAAATTCACCTGTCGTACAATCAAAACAGTCAGTTAATAACGACTGACTGTGCATTCCTTCACACATTCCATAGAGGACTCCGTTACAGCAGTCTCTCACACAACCCCTTGTACAAAGTTTCATCCCTCGATTCCCTGCGCATCACCTATCTCGCCTAACTAACGATAGTATCAATGCTTCCGACATTCGAATGACGATTTCGTTTAACCCTCGGACGGCTGTGTCTGGGTCCATTTCCTCCCAAAATCCTAAAAACCTCATGTACCACCCTCAGTTCGCAAGAAACTAACTAAAGCGTACACAATCATTTCTATTAGCATTTCCTAAGAAGATCAGAATCTCTCAATTTCCTTTCCAAAACACATCTAAAGACAGATGAGAGTCTATACGGACCCAGACACCGTTTGTTCGATCATTTTAAAAAATACGTCCACCTTCCGAGGGTTAAGGAGGGCTGGAACGATTAGTCTCCGAGGTAAAAGCTCCCCCAAAAAAATAACGACGAAAGAACGGGACAGTGAAGCGCTCGTTGGTCGTCGAAACCGGGTGCGAGGTGGCAATGGAAAATGGCAAACGGCATGACCGGGGGATCTGGTGATTTCTCGCAGAGGGGCGCGACCGGTGGTTGTTGCCGTCCAGGACGACTGGTGGACGTCGAGGGAGATCCTCTTGGAGTGACAGGGCCGTTACTGCCACGGGATAACCAGGAATATAGATCGCCCAGCGAGGACAGCGGTCTCGGGGCGGACATGCCCAGGACCAGGTCGAGAGAAGATTTTCGATCGAAGGATCACCCCACGCCGAGATCTCCGGCAGCGACCCTTGGCATACTTCCCTTGCTTTCCTCGAAAACCTCGAATCACGGACGTCCACATTCTTTTCGTGTTAAATTTTCCAACGACGGGAGATTTGGAAAATTCGTCTCAGACGATACGGAGTACAAAATTTACAGAAAGGGGTGGAATTTTACTACTTGTAGTTTTTGTCACGATCTGGTAACATTGTTCATTCTTGGAAATTCAATATTTTTTGTTTTACTGCGCCAACGTAACTTTGATAACTTTGACTTATATTCACAGTATATCTTGAAGGTCCCTAAGTTTAATTGTTGACTTAATTGAGCGTCTACACCTAATATTTCACGTATATCATTAGGAACCTGTACACTATCACTTTTCAGAACCCCGTGAAAATCGAATTCGGACAGTTGGGGTCTGTCCCTTGTCAGTCATCCCATCGTCCTAACCTCTACTAACCATTACAATTCAAACGTACCCAAAGATCTGAACAGTTTTATCAATAATTACACCAGATGGACATTTATATGCCAGAGAGCGCCGTCACGACAGACAGTGGCGCCACCTAGTGAAATCCTATTTCCGATTCGAACCCGAATTGCTCGACTTCCGCGGCGCGTCGAAGTTTCATCCTGAATTGATCACCCAATTCGAGTCGATAAGACGGGGGTAGAGTGGGAAGAACGGTAGAAAAAAAACCAGGAAAGGGAACACGCGATTCCAAGCAAGCCAGGGGGATAACCGTAATGGCGTTTCTATGTCGGATGTACGTGGTACATCGATATTTCATTTCCTTGCAGGCTCGATCTGGCTTTAGCGTCTCTGTCCGTGTATTCAGGCCCCTAGCCGCCCCTCTTCGACTAGTAGCAGGTGTGTACACAGGACAGACACTCGCGGAGAAAACGGAGGGAAATAACGAACGTCTCGGTCGTGTGAACACGTGTGTGTCCTTGTGTGTCTTCCCCGCGTGGGCGGAGAGGTCGATCCCGCGTGGGCGTGTAACCAGAGGGTGGAGGGAGTGTATTAGTGATCAGTTTTTACGGAACCACGTCGAGTGATTCGCGTGACTCGGAGATTTCTTTTACGTTTCGTTGACCGGTGGTCGGCCGATTTGTTCAAACCATCCGTAATGGAAATTAATAATTTCGTTGCTAAGGGTGAAAATCAACCACAACGAAGTACAGCGGACCCCCACATAAGGCGGACACGTATGACACGACGGAAGAATTGTGGCAGTGCTTGTATAATGTAAATATTTTTAACATTAAGTTCACATTATTTATAATAAATAGTTAATAACAAACTTTATATAAATATAAAGGAACGTATCCCATGTCCACTAGGGGGCTCTGCTGTACTATTAACCAGTTCTGAAATCGCTGAAATGCTTACATATCACATTTAACATCTAAACATCCACTAACATTGACAGTATTGTTTTATCCCAAAAAAAGCTCTTTTCATTACAGAATCTGTAAAACTCACCAATTTACGGTTAACGGACGATCAATTGTTACCCAGTGTTTAATAGAAAATCAACATTCCATAACAGAATATACAATTTCCGCGGATGAAAAAGCAAAATACCGGGAGAAAGAGTAGTAACGGATAATATAATCGTGCGGATATTCAAATCCGAATTTCCCAAAAACGTTCAATGGGAACGATAACATTCATCGTTGCCTAATCCCCGCGCCCGCTGAATAAACGGATACCTATCGGTGGGGGCCAATATCGGTCGGCGAGATATGCAAATTCCATTTCCCCGTGTTTTCGATTCCGTGGAGGCACGAACGATCTCCTCCCTACACTTTCCTCGCGCCCCGTCAGGATATCGATTCGCGACGGAATTTACCTACGCCAAATACCGCCTACGCGACACGTGTGGGCACACGAAACATCCATAACCTCTCACTCTTCGCGCCGCAATTACAGCCACGGACAGATTGTATCCGTCGACACACACGTCTGACGATTTCGGTTCTGTGCGTTCGGAGAATTATATTCTCGAATGTACACACGCGAAAATTTCATTGTAAACAGTGAATTTTAGGCGAACGGGAGTCGTGAGAAATTGTTCGAAATGAAATATCGAAGTTTAGGTTAGGTTAAGAGAAAGATTGTATTTGGATGATTAAACGAAGCGTCTCGACGATATCGTTTCCGGTTTAATCAGATTCAAAGGAAAGTAAAAGCACAGTTAAAGAGAATATCAAACTCACCTAGACGATTCTTAAAATCCTCCTACCCGCAGTCCGATAACAAGAGCTGATGCAGCAGAATGAGCGTCTATAGGGAACAGCCCTTGAAAATTTCGTTCCATCGCGGGAACTTCGAACATTGGGTCGTATCCCCGGGTAACAGAATGAAACAAACGAGCTTCGAGAGAGTTAGCAGTACGGTAATCGTGCTTTGGACGAAACGTTCGCGGAAAAAACAGTCTCCGTGTGTTCCGTACTGATCCGCAACCTCGTAAGAAACGAGAATCCTCCATATTTGTTGAATCGATTGTGACAATCGAACCAGCCATACTGACGTAATCTAAAGATCGAAATTCAAGCGTTGGAAAAAGTGTTCTGATCGATTTTCATTCACACGAATGAAAAATTTCGAAAATTTTAATTTGATTCAAAGAAGTACCTCGTGAAGTCGATTTTAGGTTCGGTTTATCAGTGATTGTGTGAAATGGCCGCGAATCGGGAGAGTTTCGATCAATCGTCCGCGAAAGTTTTCTGTTCCGTGGCGTCCTGAACGCGTTACTGAGGGCGATACATCGATCGATCGATACCCAGTCAAACGACTCTTAAAACCTCGAGGAAGGACGAACGAGCGAACGGAAATAGATTTGGCTGGTGCGCGACTTATGGGCATTTGTGCAACGATGCATGTTCATCGATGCCAGACGTATGCTGTGCTTGTTAAATAATCGATGGGAAACACGTGAATAATCGCGTCAGTGTTCAGTCCCGGTGACCCGACCGCGTATGTGCTCCATACTTCTTTCGAACTTCACTGGGTAAGAGTTGAATCCGATTTAACCTTATTATACACCGGATCGAAAGTTTTCGTTTCGTGGCGTTTAGGGAACGATATAATTCTTATTCGAGTCCATATAGTTGATAGGATAGAAAGATTCCAGTCACTATATTGTTTGAACTTAATACGAGGTTATTCATTGGATTGTAAATTTCGAACGATTTTGGTTACTATAATGTAAATCTGAAAACATTCACATTGCTACGATCATTTCTATTCTTATGGTTTAAGTTTCCGAGTAATACACGTTTCATTTAGGATATCTTTGATACTAAACTATTTAAACGCAATTTTCAACAAAGTCTCACAAAGAATACTTCGTGTACTGTTCAATTCGAACTCGCGGAACTGATTTGCGGAATGGCGGTGCTGACAGGGACGCCATCTTGGCTGTGTAGATGGTAGAGTTACATTAAAAATAATGGTTAATTATATACAAATATACATATAAAAAATGGTTAATTTATAAACATGAAAATCAGATAGGAATTTGGTTCCTGCACTGAATGTCTTGTGTAGATAGCAATATGTATATAAACATTGTTAACTTTTATTAGAATATTTATTTTACTCCAATTTTACACGATAAAATTTGCTATACATTCATAAACATCCGCAGACTGTTACATATTACATTGAGAGTTATGTGAAAGTAGTAACAGAAAATTTTTAACCATACAAACAATCAATATCAAACAAACATAAATACTTCTGTAATCTCGGAATCAGTAAATTTTATCCCAAACAACATTTCATCAGCGTTCAGTCAATAAAAAACAAACACTCAACGCTAACAAGAATCGTGAACTCTATTCCAACACAATAACAAAAGAAATTCCAGTTCGCATCGATACACTTTCACGTCCGTCATTCCCGTCACCAAACCCCAATTTACGATCGCACCTTCTCCATCAAGATTCCTAAACCCTCCAGAAAAAAGGTACGCAACGCATACAGATACAATAGAACCAACGATATATCCCTCTTCCCAAATAACACCGTAAAATATTCACGAATGCCCGGCCCGACATATATACCCCCGCCCAAGTGCTCTCACGTTCGAGAACCACCGGTCTATTTCCGCGAACGGTAATCAATATCTTACCTGAAATATTCACTCAACGGCCAATCGTCGACAGGACAATTTCGCCCCCCCCCCCGCTCCCGAATGTCCCGAAAACATTTTTGACGTTCCTTAAACGACGAAATTGCGAGACCCAATCCAGTGTACCGCGTGCGTTCGATGCACCATGAGTCGCGAGTGTGGACGTGGTCGAGGCGAGGGATGCTCGGGCGTTAGAGGGTCGGCTGCACGGGGCATGGAGGTGATGGTGGCGATGTTGGATGGTCTGAAATCGGAATTTTGGCAATTACAGAGCAAGCTGCAGGAGGGCACAGCGGCACCAAGTGACGACCTCCGACCTCGCCCTCTCCAACGACGACGAGTGCGAGAACCAGGTACATGCAAAACAATCGTCGTTCGCAGGGGGGCAGGGGGGTGGGGGAAGCGATCGCCTGCTGAGGGTCGCCTGCTGGGGGCTACATCATCTGTTTTCAGGGGGACTGAACGTACTCATACACACACACATACACGGGTCCGTCGAGTGTGATATGGTTCTTCTTGTGTTCTCGGAGATACACGGTGTTAAAAGGGGTCTTTATCAATTTCTTTTACAGGACTACGAGGACGAGTTGGAGAACGGCCGTGGACGAAGACACAGCTCCCCCAGTGGGGCCCGCGGAAATCAACGGGACTACGGGCACCATCATCTGCATCCGGACAATCTGGTGAGTCGATTCTTTTCACATACGTTTCGTTGCCTCTTGGGATGGTAACCCGTGTCTCTGTGGGTTACCCTTATCTCGCTGTTAATCCGTTCATCGACAGTTATTTCACCGACACGATACATCGTCGTCACCGTATTTCGTCGACAATGTTTTAATAATAATTGTGCTACAATAATATTGACCTGATCATTTCATTGGCAATCATTTCATCGACAGTGTTTATTTATCGAAGACGACTTTTAGTGCGTGTAATGATTGTTATTTTTATTCAACCAGTGACAATATGTATACACAATATTAAATCGATTCATTCGAATATCTCCGAAACTATTAACGATATTCAAAAATATTTCGGATTAAAATTAAATGGTATTAGGGGACACAGTTTTTGATGTGTGGAATTATTTCTATATGGACGCCTAGGGGTCATATGAAGGTCAATTTTGCTTCTTAACTGGAATCTTATATATTTAATGCACTACTTAATGCTACTTATGAACACTCATCGATGATTTACTGTATTGACGACGAAATAAAGTGTCGGTAAAATGATTGTCGATGAAAAAATTATTGGTGAGGGAAAAGTAATCCTATCTCTGTACCCCGTTTCTTTTCGCGATTCCCCAAACCTGGACGTGATTGACCTTGTCACTTCGTCGGAATTCGCGTGTAGCAAGGAGGAGACGTGGGGGGGGGATGTTTACAGTCGATGGAGATTTTTGTTACGAAAAAATTTTAGTTAGATATTAATTTTTAACTTGGTTGATGTATATTATTGATATAGAGAGTGTTTAGAAGAAGCCTATTCATTTACATCAGTTAATTATAGTTTTAGTTTAAATTATAGTAATAGCTACATAAATTAATAACCTTTCCCATTTAGTTGCTTACCTGAAAAAACAACACAATTACATTAACCACGCGGAAGAGTCTTTCTTTAATAGTTTTTGAATTATCATCCGTGTTTACGTAAGAATAATTTATGTATCTGGATAAGGCATAATGAGAATTAAAAGAAAAATCTAAAGGGGGAAAAGATCTTGGGAATATTTAAATCCAGGAAGTCTTTTCATTCCGAGAGCACCGAAGAGGCCTGGAATATTCCAGTAGTCTTATTAAAATTGCAGTTTATGCTCGGAAATACTGTAAATAAGTACGAATACAAGACGCGTTACCGGAAATCCCGTTTAATTACGTAGCTCGACGAGTCGAAAGCGTCGATTAATTAATTTTCCCCAACGCGTAACGACGGGACAAAGGCAACGGAATAAAAAGAAAAATCGTACGATCACGTAATCCTGTGAAAATGTTTGCAAGTACATATTTCGCGATGCTCTGACAAAATTTATAATTGAAAAAACAAGTTTTCCTGTCTTTCGACGCAATCAGCGCGAAATAACACTACTTACTTTCTCTTCTTTGCGATGATACTCCGACGGTATTGCGTCACAGTAACATAAATAGAAGTAAAAGTAATCGAATTTAATAGTATGATGAATTAAACAAACGGGAATGTTGAAAATAAAAATAGAGACATGGAGAAGTAAAGATCGTTTAAACGAAAGCTTAGGAACGAGGGAGTTAAATGAAAATTTCTATCAACTGAAATCAATTAACCCGGTTAACTATCATTAAATACAAGTTAATAGAGAAACAAAAGATACACTTTATGCAAGGCTGTAAGATTAGGCGCTTCATTACCGTGAGTTTTCCTCCGTTAATGGTTCATCTTCATTCAGTAGTATTTATGTGGCCATTAAGTACCTAAACCAGTTTTATTACTCAAGCGTGGAATTAGAGACCAAAATCAATTCCAGAAGACAGAATATCATTAAAAATGGCAGTAAAAAGGTCTTCGGTTTAAATGGATATAATGTTATTAACGAGTTAGAAGTCTTTTTTCCTCCATCTTTAACGATTTCAAGATGCCTGATATTAATCCTATTGGAAACAGAAATAAACAAATTCATTATATCTAGATAAACAGTTCCGAGTAACAGAATAAAAGATAAAAAAAGATATCTCACCATTTTCAATCGCGCGAACATGAAAATTTCAATTTTTATGTACAAAATAGTCCTTCTTAAAAGAGTGGACACTTTGGTAAACAATCATTCAATACTAGAACTACCAAAGCAGTCAAAATGACTAATTTAGTACGTTCTTACAAAGATAATTAAAATGTCACAACGAATACATTTTCTTAGACCGTTTCACAACTTTTACTGTAACATGAAAATGACGTAGATACCATTGCTTTTCACTAATGTGTCGTTCGAACAAAAATTCTGCCCGACTCTGATTGCAAAAACGGCCACCTATCTTGCAACAATCTTTCAAAAATATTCGAGAAATGCCCGGAAACATTTCCTCGATGAAGATAAACAAAAGATTCGCATCTACCTTTTCGATACTGTATTGGACCAAGGATTAAACGAGACTCCCGATGGAACTCGCTCGGCACGATGATCCAGACCGATCGAGACTGGATCTTCTCACGGGTCCATCCTCGGGAACGGTCTCGATTTATGGCGGCTGATCACGCCAGCCTCGATCTACAACGCGCGTACATCCGTTGGTACACGCAGCTCGGGAGATCCACGGGGAGGAAGGTGTGTGTTCCAGCTCTGAATTAATTATCGTGGCACGATCGATCATGGTGTTAGTGGGGGGGAAGATACGCGAGAAACGTCTCTATCCGTCGGTGGGTTCGCGTCGACGGATTTTTGCCGTCCTTGGCAGACGAAGAGGCAGGGGATCGTCGACCGAGCGCGAAGAGTTCTTGATATCCTTGAGGGAATAAGCCGAGATTGAGGGAAGATGGGGGTCTCCCCCCACCACCCTACTAGTTTCCTTTTTCAAAGAAAGTGACACGCTCGAAACTGCTCGAGGATCTCGCGATCGTTCGTCTCGCGGATAACGATGATACTCGAACGACTTTCCGGAACGGTTCTTCTGACGCCATATCTCGCGCGATTCACTTCGGTCGATCTAAGTTTCATTGGGAGGGCACACGATTTTCCCTGAGTCTGGGCAATTTTTGGTAAATATTTACAATAAGGGATTTGTAGGGAGTGGGGACTTTGACGATTGTTAAGTATGTTGTTAGGGTCATCACCCTGAGTAGTCTCGTGAAGGTTGTAATTGGGGTCGCCGTTTGTAAAAAAATTATTATTAAAAAAAAGTTTAGGTATGGAGGATTCGATATTAGGATTTCGATACGTCGAAGTCAAAAGCACAATATTTTTCTTCGAAATTGCTAACAAAGAATCCTCCAAAACAATAGACGAGCTTCTCAGTCTGCTTCAACAAATAAAAACTCGTCTATTGTTTTGGGGGAGTTATTATAAAAAAAACACACAGGAAAAGGATTCACTGAATGATTGAATGAAGTAGGTATATTTTTCGAAAATCGTGTTCGTGATATTTTCGAGGAAAATATAAACATCGTTAAACTTTAATCACAATTACAATCTTTAGTTACAAAATTCTTAATATATAAGAAATACATGCTAATAGACTGTACACATTCTTGCGGAAGAGCAAATCTGCGACTGCTAATACTGATTGTTCAAAAGAGCGCAGATTGCAGACACCTTTGAGTACAATAGAACTCTGACCATCGAGATACATTGGTGTAGAATCACAACACAAACACTCCGTCACATTTTAGACACATTTGTATCGTAAACACTTTATATCCATACCATTGAACCCTCTGAATTCCAGCTCTACATCCCTCTGGTTCCTCTTGCAACCAACATCATTATAAAATCTGTGTCTTATCGATTCGAAAAGGGTTAAAAAGTGTTTACGTCCAATAACAGATGGAATTTGCTACTAGTATACACAGTGATTACAATAAACGTAAATATCGAGCCAGTCTCCACATAATACCGCAAAACGTAAAACTTATTCTCAAAAGAATCATTCAACACTCCAGAACCAACTCAATCGACACAATTCTTCCCCATTTGTTTGCGCCACTCGAGAGGTTTCTCTCATCCCAGTCTTCTTCAATTTTATTTCCTGCAATCCTCTTTCTTCCAGTTACATTTAAACATTCCGAAACAATACAATTCACAAATCAGGATATCTCAATCGACCAGAATTCTACTGTACCCCCACAAACTCGCTGAACCCTCCGGTTCAACCGATCGCTCGATCCGCCATCTTGTCTGACCTCATGAAAGTTCGTCGAAGCGCAACCCTTGATGGTTGACCGTATCGGGTCGATTTCTGTCAACCAAAAGATTCCGTTGTCTTCCGAGGGATCGCGATGTCCAGCGCGGGAAATCCAGCGTGAAACTAGGGCGACGGGGACGAATCATCGTCGAGTCTTTCAAAAGGCTGGAGGGGGGAGGCTCGACGAGTGGGACGACATAGCGTCCCAGGACACCAACGGTCCTCGGAGGAGTGATTGCTTGGCTCGATGAATTTACGGTGACCCGAGACAACTGCCAGACGGTCAAAGCTTGTCCTGCAACGCCTGTCTCAGCTCCTCCGTGGCCTTCGCCACGTCCTGGCTCTGTCGCAGATGGACTTCCGGTCGCGCGTGCTGCACCGTCGAGTTCGAACGGCGCACGGTGTTCCCGCTGCCGAATTTCGGCCGTGGGATTCTCACGCGTTGCACCTCGCTCAGCCAGGACTCCATGGTGGTCTTACGGCGACGGGCTGAAACAGAAACCGGATTCGGGCGGGATCATTATTTAATTCGGGGCTACGTTGGTGACCCCCAAAAAGTGGAAGGAGTCTTGTTTATGTAATATCGGGCTCACGGATTTTCTTTTATCGACGACGTTCACGTTTCTTGACACGTGGTGGATATATTATTGACTAAATGCAAAAATGAAGGTTTAATATTTACGCCTGCAGTTTTCATTAAAATTCGAACGAACTTTTGGTTCAATCTAGTATATGTAATACATTTTACGTATTTGATCAATATTGGGGTTGAACGTATTAATTAACAGTTTTAGGTTAGAGTGCATTCAATAGAG